TCTCCACCGGAGAGAAGAACGCGAAGGCACACTCCTCGTAGTCACTCTCCTCGTCGTCTCCGACCATCATTGCCGCTCCGGCCAGGGCTGTCTTGCCCTGCTTTCCCGGCGCATCATAGGTCAGCCTATTAGGGGGTTGAACTCTCCTCTTCCCCCTTCCTTCCTCCTCAGCTGCAGGGACTTGAAGGCCTTGGCGTTGCTGCGGTGTGGCTCGAATCCGTGGAGCACTCGTAGTACGGGAAGGGAGTGACGGTGCACGCTCGCTCACTTGCTGCACCTCCTCCTCTTCTTCCTCTGCATCATTGGCCTCCTCTCCCCCATTCACAAGGGAGGATTGCCTTGTGGTTGTGCTGCCGCTGCTCAGCTCCAAAGGCAGCTCCACATGCTCCAAACCGGAACTCTTCACCTCCCCAAACCGCACGCCTATCTTCGCCTCATTCTCCGCCTTCCAATCCTTGTACATGAAGTTCTCCATGAACTTGCAGTCCCTGCTCACCAAGAACTTCTTGGTGAATGGGTCCCAAAGAAGCCATCCCTTGCTGTTTTGAGCCATGCCCAAGTGCACGGCCCACACCGCCTTGGCACCAAGCTTGTTGTGCCGAAGATGCTTAGGCACGAGCGCCATGCACATGCACCCGAACACCCGAAGCATATCCACCTTTGGCTTCCTTCCTAGCCACTCCACATAGGGCACCCATTTGTCTGCTCCCACATGAGTCAAGGCTCTGTTCTTGGCCACACACGCGCTCCGCACCGCATCAGGCCAGAAATAGTCGGGTAGCCCGGCTTCAATGAGCAACCCGCGTGCCGCCTCCGTGATTGTGCGGTTCGCTCGCTCGGCGATGCCGTTCATTGCAGGGGAGTATGGCATGGTGAGGGAGTGCCGAATACCATTCTTCTTCAGCCACAAACCAAACTCCTTGCTCAGGAACTCTCCCCCTCGATCGGTGCAGATTGACTTGACTAGACGGTCTTGTTGCCGCTCCACCATCGGGAACCAATCCGTCTTCAACGTTTCAGCCACGTCGCTCTTCTTGGCCAGCACGTACACCCAAGTCATGCGGGTGTAGACGTCGACAATGGTGAGAAAATACTCAGCTCCAGCAGCTCCAAGCTTCAGGGGGCCCACCACGTCCATCACCACCTCATCAAGCGGTGCCTTTGCCGTTGCCTCCGAACTAGGGAACGGAAACCGGGTGAACTTGGCTTGAATGCACGTCGGGCAGCCAAGCACCTCATCGGGCTCCCCCTTCACACGTATGCCAGCAACCATCTCATTCTTCACTAGCTGCTGCAAGATGGGCAGGGCCACATGCCCCATGCGCCGATGCAAGGTGAGCCAATCACACTCCCCCGTAGCCGAAGTTGGATTGGAGAATGCCGCGCTCGCAATAGCGCCCCACATACTTTCTCCGTAGTCCTCCTCCGCTGCTGCCTCTGGGTTCTCCTCACCCTTTTGCTGCTCCTTGGTTGCTGCACCACTCTCCTTAGGTTCACTGAACTTGCTGGTCCCTCCAGGTTTGCTCTTCTTGAGCTCATTCTCCTTAGCGCGACCGTTCGCGCCATCGTCGCTACCGACCGCTCCATCCTTGGTGCTGATGCTTGCTGCCACTTGCCTCTCCTTAGGCATAGGGACCACTGGGATCTGCCACATCTCGTTGTAGACATCCCTGTCCTCATGAAGGTCCCAAAGAATTCGATCGCCAAGCCTTGCGGTGTAGGTCTTGGCTCCCTTCGAGTTCGTGTCCATGCCGGCCTTTGCCAACCGCCGCACGGAAATCAGGTTTGCAGCAAGGCTGGGCACCCAAAGCACGTTCTTGAGGCCCACCATCTTCCCATCAGCACCCTTGAACATGGCCTTGCCCATGCCTTTCACCTCTGCTCGCTGCCCCAAAGCCGATGTGACATGCTTCACCGGTGACGGCTCGAGTTCGGTGAGCAAGTCCGGGCGAGGTGTCATGCTATAGGTAGCGCCACTATCAATCACCCAATAGTCCAAGGGGTGTAGGGTCACCTTCCCCACAGCTGCTGGCTCCTCAAAGCCTTCATCCTTCTCTGGACCAGCCGGTACTTGCGTCGACACGAAGTAGAATAGACCCGGGTATCGATCGTCGCTCGGGTCCTTGTCGTTGTCTCCGCTCTTCATGTTTGCAGCTCCGCCACCGCGACCGCCACGGCCTCCACGGCCTCGTCCTCTCCCTCCTCCTGCTCCTCTACCCTCTTGGCCTTGAGCAGGGGTCCAACCATCAGGGAGTTTGTAGCAGTCGCGCCACATGTGTCCGCTCTTGTGGCAATAGTGACACTCGCCGTCGAATCGGCCGCGACCGCGTCCGTAGCTCTTGTCGTCGCTGCCGTAACCGCCACTCCTGCGGCCTCCGCCGAAGTTGCTGCCACCAAACCTTCCTCCCCCTCGTCCTCTGCCTCTTCCTCGACCATATCCACGGCCGATGCTCGCTGCCCCAGCGCCATCCGCACTCGCCAACTCACGGCGGCGGAAATCCTCTTGAAGGATAGCTCGCTTCACGTCTTCAAGCGAGAGGCGGGGCAAGTCGCGATTAAGGTTGATGATGAGCGAGGACCATGACTCTGGGAGTAAGGCCAGCAACTTGGTCTTCTTTTGGAGCTCACTGTAGTTCAAATCAGCTCCCTCAAGCCGCGTCAACAAGTCGAAGAATTTCTGCACCCCTTCTTCAACCGCTTCGTCTTCTTCAATTCGAAGTGCCGCCATTTGCCGTTCCAACACCACCGCTACCGCCGCTGTTGCAGGAGCATGTACACCCTTGAGAGCAGCCCATGCCTTTGGTCCTTTCTCTGGTTCACGCTGGAATGGCTTGATGTGACGGATCTGACTGCTCCCCAACGCTTGCCCAAGTAAGAGATAGCCTTGTGCGCTCTTCCGCACCCACGGGCTCTTCTCCGGGTCGTTCTCGGGGCGCTTCTCCGTTCCTTCCATCACCTCCAGCAGGTCATAGTGGTCAAAGATGTTCTCCATCTTGAAGGACCATTCAGCAAACTTGTCACCGTTGAACTTGTCAAGCCCAAACACCCTAGGCTCATCCCTAGGTGGGCCAAGACTTGGTTGCATGGGCGCCATGGCTGAATCACGGGGTTGGCCTTGAGCTTGAGCTTCTCCACTGCCACCAGCACCTCTGCCACCCCTTTCCTCAGGTCAAGATATTGTCGAAACTGCTCCAAGGGGCTCTGATACCACTTGTTATAGTCACAATAGGCTTGAATGTGCCTAAAACGAAAGATAGAGAGCACAGACGGATTTCTGCACAGCGGCTTCAAACGTTGATAGCGTTCTGCTCACAGATGCAAATGACTTGATTCAAATTGAATCTGGAGCGTCTTCACGTCGTCTACAATTAGCAATTTAGATTGCACGATTTGATAAAGAATTGACGACACAGCGTCGGTTTGAACGAACGGTACTATGGCAGCCACTATAGTCTTAGAACACAAGATAGGAAGAGTTACGAGTTGGGAATGACTCCCAGCTCCTACAAACCCCAAGAGCCGAGGTACAGTGATGTGGAACAGTGCCACACTGTCCCCAACCACGAAGGGTCTCGAAACTACCCTTCACTAGGGCCTACACCAAGTGAAATGTTACACTACACAAAGTAATGTAACTATCTTCAATATCTTGAGGTGTACCCTTTTGGCAAGCTTCGAAATCACTTGAGGCTTGACACCAAGGCTCGGGCTCTTCATCACAAACTCATCCTTGAGTTCTTGATGGGTCTGCTGCACACACCTGCGACACGCCGAACGTTCGACACAGGACAAAATAGAAACCGCGCACGGCAAAATAGAAACCGCGCGCGAGACACAAACGACCGCGTAACACGCGTCTAGCGATAACTCGCTATTGACTCCACACACACACTCGACATCATGACTCAACATTCACACACAATTATAAGCATGAAATATATATTATCCCATGCCCTCATACCATTCCATACACACACACATTCACGCACACGGACAACAAGCCGAGTGCAAACCGTAGGGTTGCACCAACATTTAGTGTACCCTCCAACCACATTTTGTGGTTGGTTGGGATTGGTCCTTAGCTCAACCAATCCCAACCAGCACACATTTGTGGTTGCTTGGGCCACAAGCAAGCTCACCCATTGGCCAACTTATTGGCCAATAGGGTAAGCTTCCCTCTCATCTCTCTCTTGCTCATTGTTTGTACTAAAGGGCATCTTGACTCATTATTCAATGTATCAATTCTTTTTTTCAACAAGGAAGGGTAGGGGAGGAGAAGTAAGGAAGGAGGGAAAGGTGGGAGGGGAAGGGGAGGGATAGGGGAGCCAGGGTATGAGAGGGGACATGTGGGAGGTGGAGTAGGAAGGTTGTCAGATTCCTAGCCATTACACCACAGGGATAAAATGGCTTGTTAACTAGGGGGTCAGTGCGTTTATAACCCCCCAGGTTAGCAAGCCTGTAACCTTTCCCTAGGACCAATCGGGCATCCTCAGTGCAGATCTTATGACACCCCCATCTCACAAGAATGCCATAGGACACGGCACAACAGAAGCGCCAACATGTGCGCACATGGGGATTCGAACCCAAAACATTTGCTCTGATACCATGTGAGAATCTCAGTCACTGGACCACTGGAAAAAGATGGCTTGTTAAGTAGCGGGTCAGTGCGCCCATAACCCCCCAGGCCAGGCTAGCGAGCCTGTAACCTTTCCATATGATCAATCGGGCATCCCCAGTACAAGTCTAGTGACAAATAGGACATGACAACATGAAACGGGGGCAGTGCGATGAAACAAAAGCCACGCATGGACCATGTCAAAACGCATATCACGACAAGGAAAAGTACTCGAAAAGTACCGGACAGTGGAACAGCCACCTAATGTGGGCGAAAAGGTTCAGCTGGAAAATCAACCACGTGAACCCAAGCGCATGATGATGCCTCCGACTGGAAAAAAATGATGTAGAAGTAAGCAGAAAGGGGCCAAGAAAGCGTCGCCACATTAGGCTGCTTCAACAAAAAAAGAAAAAGAAAATGTAACAAGAGTTGCCCACCGTTCCAGGGGTGTGGCCTTTGCCGCAGGAGATCCCAAGCGCTTGTGCGAGCAGAGAAAAGATGGGCATGCTACAGAGAGGGCTCTGGCTGCTGCTCTTTTTTGCCCTGCCCGCGCTCACCACCACCCCGGTCCCGCCATCCTCCGTGAGCCCCACTTTGCTCTTGGCGTTGAGAGTGACGAGGTACTGGAAGGCCTGGGAGGGCGAGTTGCCCTGCGAGCATTTGGAGCCGAGGGCGTCGCGTAGCTGGGAGACGGAGAGGTGCGGCACGACAGAGAGGTTGGAGAGAATGCCGTATGCCATTTCTATGCTGCCCACCACCGCGTACGCCCAGCAATCGCCTGAACGAGAGGAAGGGGGGAAGCGGTAGGATGGGAGAGGTTGATGGCATATGAAGCTAAAGTGGATTTGTATGCTGCCCACGACTGTGTATGCCCAGCAGCTAGCTGGCATGGGAAATCGGGAGGACGCAGCGAGAGGGAAGTGGGAGGGGAGAGGGGAAAGCGGGAAGGGAGAATGGGCATGGCAGGAAGGGAGAGGCCACAATAGCCACAAATGCCACACAGCCCTCTTCTCACCAGAAAGCATTTTAAAAGTGCATGCCCTCTTATTCCTTTGCGCCCCCTTCCCAACCAAAGTAACTCATGGTATTCCATCCCATCAAATTCCATCCCATCCCAACCCATTCCAGCCCAGCCTAGCCCCTCCCCTCCCCTCCCATCCCCTCCCCTCCCCTCTCATCCCATCCCTTCCACTTCCCTGCCCTTTCCACCCCCACCCCCACCCCCATGCCCTCACCGCAGGCGCCCTGGTTCTGGACGGGCCATGAAAGCCCCTGGTCGGTCCAGGAGAACGCTTGGCTCACAACCCACACCTCCTCCTCCTTGCCGTTTCCCCCTTCCGCTCCTGCTGCGCCTGCTGGCAGCACTGCCTGCACGCCCGCACTGGCGTAGCGGAAAAACAGATTCGCCCCCACTGGTGCCAGCGATGCCTCGCTGAACTGGAACCCAAACTGCTGGCCTGGGGGGAGGTGGAGAAGGGAGGGTACGGTTGGTTGGGTAGGGTAGGGCAGGGTAGGGTAGGATGGGGTTAGGTAGGGGGAATGAGAGATGCATGGGGAGTGGGAAGGAAGTTAATGGGTCAAGTGGCAATGAGTGCTGTGGGGAGGATTGGGAGGCAGATGGGAGGAAGGGTTGAATGAAGATTGGGAGGTGGACTTTGGGAGGGATCAGGGCGAGGCCTAGAGAGAATATTGAGGGAAGGACTTGAGGGAGGTTTCGGGGGGAGGGGCAGGGAAGGGCTGGTGGGGGTGCAAGATTGTGGGCGGCCTTGCGGGATGATTGAGGGACGGTGGAGGAATGGGGACAAAAGAAAAGGAAAAACGAAGGGTGGCAAGAAAAGACCCAAGCAACAGAAACAGAAACAGAAAAAGGTGCGAATCGGCCAATCCAAGTCAGCCATACCTGTAAGGGTGGTTGATTCGGGAAGGCCTGGACAGACAAGGGGAGACGGAAGCAGACAGCAAGGTTTATTAGAAGATGTAACAAGCAATGAGAAGGTAACACATACACATGTGAACTACGGTAGAGTATGGTTTACGGGTGAGGATGAGTGGGCCATTGCTGGTGGGAGAGAGTAATGGATGGAGTGGGACAATACAGATGGAGGGGGGGGATGGCAGCAGCTGCAGGCGTTTGTGCTGAACTGCCAGTCGGTATGAAGCGACACCAATGAGAACAATACAACACACCACCAACAAGGGCGGAGCGCACGGCAATAGGCGACAGTACCGGAAGCAGGGAGCAGAAGGAAACAGCAACGAGCACGTGGGAGCAGAGGATAACGGAGGGGGGCGGCAGGGAGCAGCAGGGAGCAACAGGGAGCAACGGCACAGACCTGTGGTGATGTTCCACTCGAGGATGGAGTGGAGCTGTGGGGAGTCAGAGGAGGAAGCAGTGAAGCCCATGAGGAACGATGCCTCGGCTGCACTGGGCTGCAGGAACTCGCACAGCGACACCTGCATCGCCACCACTGCCTTGCTCGGCCGAGGGGACCCCTTGGCCGACAGAAACACCCGCAGCCACCCCGCGCCGCCCCCGCTGCTGTTGCTGCTGCCATAGGTAGCGCTGCCACTAGCAGCACCGCCAGAGGAGGAAGGAGAGGGTTCAAAGACGACCCAGGCATGCTTTGGCCTGCCGTCGTTGAGAGTGAAGGGCACTTTGGCTGTTGCGATGGAAGAGGTGTTGCCCCTCACACTGATTCCCACGTGGTTGTTGTCTGGGTCGTTGGCATCGGTGCTCTTAGCAGTATCAAACTCCACTGCAATGCTGCGCTCATCCATGCCTGCATACCCCAAGCTGCCGCCCCCACCACTGCCATCGCTGCTGCCACTACTACCACCCGTAGCAGCGTCAGTGGCTGCAATCACAAACGCAAATCCGTCGCCTGCGTCTCCTGCTGCTGTCATTGCTGCCCTGCTGGCGGTGGCTGGTTTGAGAATGGAGAAGGAGAAATAGACGGTGAAGGCCAAGGGGCGGCCGCAGGCACCGGCTTTCAGGGAGAAGGAGAAGAGTGGGATGGGCAGTTGGAGGAACGCTGCACCCCACGTGTTGGGCTGTGAGGCTGTGAGCGTGATGCGGTCGTCGTTTGCTACTACAGCCCCCCCCTTAACTGATGTCTGTGCTGCTGTTGGCTGCACGATTACTGGGTCCTCACCTGCCGGTGAGGGAGAGGGCGTGGGTTGGTCAGCAAGGGGAGAGGGAAAGGCTCTGAGGAGGCGTCTAAACAATTTTTGAGGACAGCATGACAAGAGATGGTTTTTTAGGCAACTCAAAACGCAGCGCTTTGGGAGCCCTGAGGCACACCCACATGCCAACCTTGTATATCGAGACCTGAGCAGGAAGGTTCGAGCCCCGCAACAACCATGTCGTGGCTTTTCCACAGCACAGCACACTCTGTCAGAATGCGATTCCTCTAGTATCCTGCTTGTGCCCTATATTAGCTTAAGTAGAATAGCCACCATACTTAGTTTGGGCGCACAGCCAGGGTTTACCCTGATAAGAGATGGCTTTTGAGGCGCCTCGAACGCAGGGCCTTGGGAGCTCTGAGGCACATCCACAAGCCAGCCTTGTGAGTTCGATCCTAAGCAGGAAGACTCCTCACAGCACAGCACGCACTGTCTATCCTAGTTAGGGGGAATGGACAACTATTGGCTCAATTTTGACCATGATTATTATGACCCCCCAATAATTCTCCAACCCAGTTTTATGATGGTCAAGAACCCAACCATCTCCTCGTTACTCCCACTACTGTGTATACCTTGAGAGCTTTATATTATCCAATCGCATTTCTTTCTCCTTTTCACACACGCACACCATCCATCCACACAGCCCTAACAGACCACACCATCCTCATTCCCCTCTTCCATTATCCATATCCCCCACCTCCCCCCAACCCCACTCACTGCCTTCAGCGATGCAACTTCCAGGAAACTCCCCGTTGACAAACCCGGACTCGCAGTCACACGGGGGCACTCTGCTGGGGCCGTCCAGATAACACACACACGCGATGGCCGTCGCACGAGGGATCAGCAGCACTCACGTCAACGGGAGTTGTGTGTTGCCCCCGTCCTCGCTCGGGCGGAGCCGAATTCGTGGTCGGATGTACGGGAGGTGCAGCCGAACAGCAGCAGTGGGCGACGCCGACTTAGGCGAGATGGTCGATGGGTCTGGTCAACCTGCATGGGGCCACTACGAAGCCGCCGACGATGGGACGCCGACGGACGACTTCTACGAGAGGTCGACGACGGGGCTCGTCGACCTAGTGAGGGCGCCGACTTCGGGAGGTCGCTTGGGAGGTCAACTTGAGGAGGGCGCAGACTTGGTGGCGCCGACCTGGGGAAGCCGACCTGGTGGAGTCGGCTAACTGTCAGCCTGGTCGACCTGGAGCTGTCGACTTGGGGTGTGGTCGACTTGGTGAAATCCACCAATATTGGTCGTCGACCTAGGTGATCGACGGACACAAGGAGCAGCACTTGGTCGACGTGGTTGCCCGGTCGACCAAGTTACCTGGGCGAAGGAGTTCTGCCGAGGAGCGCGACAGTCGCCTAGATGGTTCTGGCGAAGCCGACCTCGGAGTGGTATCTAGAGGTCGACGTGGCTGATCAGGTGCAGTCAACAGCACGTGAACGATTTGGTGTTTGCGCTGTGCAAGTGACGGGGCACAGCACGCCAATCAACTGCGAGCACCTGCGAAGCGGGTGCGCTGCTGTCCTGTAGATGCAATGTTGTGCAGCCGCCTTGCTGCAGCGTTGGCACGCCGTCGACTTGCAGCGTCGGCAGACCACGACTTTGCACTGCTGGAGTGCAGTCGACATTGCAGTGCTGGAACGCGGTCGACCGTGCTGGCTGGCAGTCGACCTGCATGCTTGCTGCATCTGATGTTGTCTTCCTTGTCAACTTTGTTGCTATCATTGTTGTGAACTTTTGCTAGTGAAACTCTTGCCAATTCTCTCCGTGAATATGCTCGTAGAGAGACAACAAGCAAACGACTAAGAAACGCTATGATCACTCCTACACCCATGCCTTCCCCGTAGTCTAGCTCCCGTTGTAGTAGTTATCTCCGCATACCTTGAGAGTTTATATTATCCAATCGCATTTCTTTCTTCTTTTCACACACGCACACCATCCATCCACACAGCCCTAACAGACCACACCATCCTCATTCCCCTCTTCCACTATCCATATCCCCCACCTCCCCCCAACCCCACTCACTGCCTTCAGCGATGCAGCTTCCAGGAAACTCCCCGTTGACAAACCCGAACTCGCAGTCACACGTGGGCACTCTGCTAGAGCCGTCCAGATAGCACACGCCATGGCCGTCGCACGGGGGATCAGTAGCACTCACGCCGCAGAAGGCACCACATAGCTCTTCTGGCCGCTGCACCGCTGCATCCGCAGCAGAAGGCGTGGCTGGAGTTGGGCAGGAGAATCCGTCAGCAGGGGTTTCGAGGCAGTTGAAGCGGAAGGAGATGGAGCCTTGGGAGCAGTCAGGTGGGGAGGAGAAGCCAGAGGAGAAGTAGTTGAGATCGAGGTTGTAGACGGTGACTGATGATGGGATGGGCTGCAGTACAAGGCCTGTCAGCTGGTTGTTGCGCAGGTTGCTGTGAGGGGGGTGCGGGGAGGGTAAAGGGGAGGGAAGGGGGGTAAGGACGAAGGAAGACGTATGAGGGGCCCAAGAGATGGTTACTAGTTCTTTGGGAGGAGGGCAGAGGGCAGGGGATGTGAAAACGGAGAAATGAGAAGGGGAGGTTGAGCGGAAGGGGCATCGGATGCTATGCAGGCATTGAGGGCGGTGGCTAGCGGATGGGGATGCAAGGAGGCCAGTGGGGGATGGACATACAGGAGGGTGAGACGGACAAGGCCTGTGAGAAGCGTGGGGAGGGTTCCATGCAGACGGTTGTTGCTCAGGTCACTGCAGGGAGAGAGAGAGGAGAGCGGAAAGAGGGGAGAGGTTGGGAGGGACAACATGAAGGGGAAAGGATGGGGGGGAAATCAGGAGAGGAGAGGGGAAGGGGCATTCTTGTGCTCCGTCCAGTTGCTCGTTATGAGCGTGGTGCTTCTAACATGGTATCAAAGCAACGTGGGGTTCAAGCCTTGGTATGCGCCATCTGCTTTGGTCATCTTGTTCAAAGACCGAAACAGAGAGACGGTGCACACTGATGCACAACAGTTCACGACTCGGTGTGCTCAGACAGCCACACGGGTGTTCGAGAGAACGTAGGTGACTTATGAGTCGACTCAAAAGTAACCTATTCTCGGTGTGCACACAGGCACATGGATGTTCAAGAGATCCGGGAACAACCATAACCAACATATGCCCTGGATGGGCTACATGTTTCTTCCTGGAGGGTAAGGTTGGTTGTGTTGTGTTGAACAACCAAAACCACATGCCATTCTGAGCCAATCTGTTACTCCTAGGCTCTAGCACCTGCCGCCCTTAATTCATCCCCATTTCTGCGGTGTCTCGACAATATTTTCATTCGACTGGATTATGAAGGAAATATTTAATCTTGGCTAACTAATTAAAGCGGGTCAAGCATTCACAAGATAATCGGTGCTGTTTAGCCGTGTGTATACTATGCTTGTATGTAGCATGAGGTGCGCAGATTGCACACACACATGGCTTAGTTGGATTGGGCAGATCACACACAGTACTTAGCTGGGCAGGCGCTGGGCAATGATTCATAAATCTTAGCTGGGCGATAAGGGTGGATCACTCACATGAATTCCATTCTTAGCAGCCCTCCGAGAAGAGTGGGCAGGGTGCCGCTAATCTGGTTGCAACAGAGGTTGCTGCGGGGGTGCAGAGAGAGAGAGTGAGGTGCAAACATGGGGGATTTCGGTCGGATGGGCAGGGAAGCAGAGAGGTCATTGATTGGAATGGATAACGTCCAGCACACATGGTTTCTATGAGTCAAGAAAAAACAAAACACACGCACGCACGCACGGAAAACGGGTGTGAGAAATGCACAGGGGAGACAGGGGAGGGGGTTGGGAGGGGGCAGTGGAAGAGGGAATCCGGTGGGGCGATCGGGGAGAAGTAGATGAGGGGGGGGGGGGGGGGGGGGGGGGGGTGGGGGGGGGTGTGGTGTGGGGGGCCCAAAGAAGTGAGATAGTAGGTGCTCAAGGGGATTGGACGAGAAGAGAGGTGGTGAACAGGAAGGAAGCACAGGACTTGGAATTAGGGATAAAGTGGGAAAAAAGGGAGAAGGTGAGAAAGAGAATGCTCAAGTGAGGAGACGGAGGGGGGGCAGTGAGCGTGGGGGAGAAGGGTAGCAGGGGGAGAAGGAGAGAAGAGAAGGTTACATGGGCGTGGGCAGGGCGTGAGGATTGGAGGGGCACTGACAGAGCTTCGAGGTTGTTGAGATTGGAGTACTCAACGGGTATGGATCCGGTCAAACCGTTGCCACTCAGATTGCTGCCGTGAATGAGGTGGCGGGCATGGGGGAGGGGGGAGAGAAGGGGGAAGGTTGGGGGGGACGGAAAGGGGAAGGGAAGCAGGAAGGGAGGGAGGTGAAATCAAAGGGCAGTTGGAAGAGAGAAAGTGGAACGAAGAATTGCCTGTGACAAAAGAGAGAGAGTAAGGGGAGGACGAGAACCTTCACAGTGCAGCCGCAAGGGGATACTTCAGAGCTGACCCCTCCCCTCCACTCCATCCACCAGAGAGCTTGTAGCCTGCTAAAGCCAGATACTAAACCCTGCTGCACCAAAACCTGCAATGCTGGTCGGTAGCTCTTCCGTGGGGAAAACTGGCCTTGGGGACCCTGCACCTTCCGCGGGGAGCTTTGGGAGCCTTGGCCACCCTGCCTGCGCCCGCAGTGGCTCACCTTTAGGAATCCCTCGCGCTGAGCAAGCACCCTGTTGTGATCTGATCACTATCCTTGAAACCCCTCACGGACCCCCCTTACCATAGATAGTAGCAGAGGACACTGTGTGTAAGGAAGCTAAGTGTCGCCTTGCTGTGGCTCAGCTCTGTACACAGGTCTTGAGTTGTGCATGCTATGCTACATGCGAGAGGGAACCGTCCCTGTAACATAAATGCATGCTACATGTGGTATGGAGGAACCCTCTGTCATGTCCTATCAGTGTCGCAGAAGCAGAGGAAAATGGTAGAGTCCTTATCGCGGGAGAGGGCTCAGGGCAGTGGTAGAGTCCTTATCAGGGCAGCACTCACAGGGCCTTGAGGGTAGTAATGCTGCCGATGCTGGTTGGAAGAAGGCCGACCAGGTCGTTGTGGCTCAGATCGCTGGGAGGGAAGGCAGAGAGGAGAGGATTGGGATGGAGGGGGAGTAGAATTGGGTGGAAGGAAGCCGATGAATTTGAGAAAGCAGAAGACGGTGGGTGGGAGAGGTAGGAGGGTCCGCACGCATAGAAACAGACATTCAGTGTGGCATGACATGGACGACAGATAGAGGTGAGGAGGCACCACTTGTTTGGTCTTGCCATGGAATGACATGATATATGGCAGCAGAAGCCATGGAAGCATGTGCGCAGCAGTGAGTGGGCGTACAGGTTGGTGGTGGATGGGATCCAAGGCTGTGACCTTGGCCAGCATGGTTCCCTTCTGAGAATTGTTAAAAGAGAATTCTCAAAAGTGATTCCAACGTACAGGTTGGTGATGGCATCCAAGGCTGTGATCTCTGTAGGCATGGTCCCCGTTAGCTGGTTGTAACTCAGGTCCCTGCCGTGCACACGCGGAGTGGGAATGGGAGAGGGGGAAAGGGAGAAGGGTGGAAGGGAAGTGCAAGTGTTAAAGAGGAACAAGTGGGACAACGAGGTGGGGAGATCAAGAGCATGTGGGGGGTTGCACGTGCACATGTGTGTGTGTGGGTAAATGCATGAGCACATGGGGGCAGGCACGCACATGAACATGTGAGCTCGAGCGTGAGAAGGTGTGGGAGTGTAAAACACATGCACCGTGCTTGTGCATTTTCCACTTTACATCTATTCAATACGGTTGGTATCAAAATCAGTTTGATCATTGAAAATAATAAGAAGGTGTTAGTGCACGGTTTGTGCACGCCTGTTCAATTATGCACTCTCAAACGTGGCGGTATGAACTTGTCCTTGTGCACGGCACGGCATGCACGAGTGTGCATCCTTCTACAACCGGTCACAACGTGTTGTGTTGCGTTGCGATGCATACGACGAATTCGACAGGCACTTGTTTGCTTGCTTGCTTGGTCGATTGGTGGGTTGTGCGGATGCAATAGGTGGGTTGGATAGAGGCAGGCAGGCAGGAGGATGGAAGCAGGCATTGAGATCCGTACAGCTTCTGCAGGTTGCCAATCTGTGCAATAACTTGTGCTGGAACGGAACCCGTGAAAGCATTGCTGGACAGAGATCTGGAGACAGAAGCAGAGAGAGAGAGGGCCGAGAGACAGAGGGACAGAGAGACAGAGGGACAGAGACGGAGAGATGGAGAGGCAAGGCAGAGAGAAGAGGCAACGGAGCGAAGGGCAGCAGGGTGGTGACATGGACGGAACGTGAGAAGAGGCATGATACATAAAGACGGAAACACTTCTGTTCCGCAAACGGCGTGTTGCAAAGAATGTTCTCCACGTGCAAGCTGAATGCGCCTTTGAGAATTCAGCCGTAGACGTGTTGCAGTGATACTGTGATAGCACGCATGCAGCAGGGCGGGCAGACTATCGAGTGCCTTGCCTTCCACCATAGGGACACACGAGAGGGAGGATGCTGCCAGAGTGCAGGGAGGGGAGAGCATGCGAGGGAGAGAGAAAGAGCAGGGCAGCAAAGGGAGTGCAGTGAAGGAAGAGCGTACAGCGCCTTCAGGGTTGTGAGGGTGCTGAAAGATGAAACGAGCGTGCCTGACAGTCGGTTGAAGCCCAGGTCTCTGTGGAAGAAAGGGAGAAAAGGAGATGGTGTGTGGGAGGGGGCGAGGAGAGGATGGTGTGTCGGTGGGTTTGGCTGTTTGAGTCTGTGGAACCTTGCAGTGATAGTATGGGAGAGGGGTGGGTGCAGCTGCATACTTGCCAGAACACAAGAGGACATGAGCACATGATGGCATGCGGTGCGGGCATGAACACATAAGGTCATGCAAGCACGGACTCATGAGGACAAGAGGAAATTGGTAATTACGAAAGCGCGAAAAGGTCACAAGAGAAGCAGGTCCAGCTAACAGGTTGGTGAGTTTGGTGAGGAGCGAGAGGGATGAAGGCATGGATCCAGACAGTTGGTTGTGGCTCAGGTCCCTGTGGCACCGCACAGCATGGTGTGTGTGGAGTGGAGTGGAGTGGAGTGGAGTGAGTGGTGTGGAGTGGTGTGGTGTGGTGCGGTGTTGTGTGGCATGGGTTAGTATGGCATGGCATGGCATGGTAGCAGGTATTATTAACATTGCAACAAAGGGAGGAGTGAGGGGGTTAAATGACACCAAAGAAATGCGGGATATTTCTAAAGCACAATATCTTGCATGGGAGTTTACAATACAAGAGATAACTTGCACGAGCAGACAGCCAGGGAGAAGCAGAATGACTCTAAGAAAGTGAAAGGGAGGGTGATTGAAAAAACACTACAGCAAAAATCTTCTTCTCTCTAAGAAAGTGAAAGGGAGGGGTTCCATCCAAGCAACCCCACACACCCA